AATTTTTAGCTTTCAAAATGTTTTATCCTGTCAAAATTCAACACATCTATTGTTTTACTTCTTGCAATTCAGTAGATATTTTGAATTAATCAAAATCTGCATATTCGGCCACATTTGTATCTCCTTGCCGCAATTAATCAATTTGACTGTAAAGATTTTGCCTTTTTGCGTGTGGAACAAGTTGCTTATGGGCTTTTTTTTTTTGTTTGCCTCAAGACTGCAATATATTCGAACTTTAATGCTGCGTAATTGTATCCTTTTTGTTAATCCAAGTCCTTGAAGTCAAGGAGCCGTTCTGTCTTACGTTCTCAATCCAAACAAAATTCCAGAATTATATCATAATATAATGCATCAGCAAATCTGAGTATTTGATTTCATCCTCATACACTCCTAGCATTTAATCGTGGTGAGGTTTATATTCCTGAGATGGTGTCTTAGAACAGAATGGTACATAGAGCCCTGTGGCAGGTTCTGGCCACTTCTTTTAGACCCTCCGGTTTGTCATTGAAGTTAAGCTTCTTTGTCCCGTAAATCTCCAGTCAGGCTATCTTCTTCTTCTTCTTGTTGTCAGAATGTCGATCTCCTTTCCATAGTTGTGTGGCTTCTTTTGATCACTATTGCGCCTTCCCTTTATTTTGAGCCAATCAGCTCAACCTTGTGGACCTAAATGGTAATGAATTCAACCAAGAACAAGTAGATATTTTAGGCATCCTAGTCACAAAAGGTCCTAGAGAGAGATGTTGATGGTTCTGAGCCTGATGTCACTTGATAAATAACAATGTTGGGCACACCGCACACTAACACAAAATAGCATGGAACAGTGTGGGGAATTGTTTTTCAAAAGTCTAATACAGGAAGTCTTCAAAAACAAGTTTAGGCGTAATGCATTTATTTGAATATTTTGTTTATAAATTTGAGTTAAATCTAGAACCTGTTGTAATTAGAAAGCAAAAATTTAAAATTACTTGCAAAACTAAATTTCAAGCCTTTTGCAGCGACTGTCCAGTTGAAATTTAAGAATGATATGAAAAAAATCTGTTGCTCAATGTCTTATTGTCTTCTTTCTTAGTGCAGGTTGATTGAAGGCACAATTAGATCAGTAAACAACCTACTTGAAAAGTTTCACCAGTCATTTTTTCTGTACCTTCTAACTGGGCCCAGCAAGTTTGTTTCAGTAGGAGTTTACATGATCGCTTTTGCACTCCTTATTGCACCCTTACCAGTTGTTGCTGCTTCTCTATATTCCGATGCTGTCACATGTCATCCTAAGTCTGACATGGTAAAATCTTCTGCAAGCAGTAGCTCATCCGATGCGATGAATAAATCTGGCACTTCATGGAGGTGGCTTCATGCAGCGAAATCTGTGTTTGTTATACATATATGGGCAGCTGTTGTAGCATTACTTCCCAATGTAGTTTGTCAAATACCCAACAGGACATCAACTACATGCAGTATTTCCTGGATTTTGCTGTCATTAGCTAGCCTTCAAATTATATACAAGGTCTTTGGCTCACCTTACTCCAGCTTCAAGCCATCAGACCTGCATAAACAAGAATGGGCTGTCTTAAAATCTGTGATGATCTCAGCATCTTTCATTGGTTTGTCTCTCATGTCTGTAGTGAACTTTGCAGCTGCAGAAATCGGGGCATTATTGCTGGTGCCATTCTGTTTGATGGCTCAGCCCTTAAAACTAGACATGCAAAACCTGAGCCTGAAAGCTTTCTCCAGAATAGCTTGCAATATAGTCTTAGGGTTGTCCTTGTTTCCACCGTTTACTTTCTTTGTGATAAAAGGCGTGTCTGAAGGATTCAGTGGAATCGACATCGGTGATTTTTGGACCTGGGCTGAGTCACTTTGGCTATGGAATAGCGCAACTTATCTGTATGTAATGTTGGTGCACCTTCCATGCTGGGTGTTGTGTGTCCATCTCTTATTACATCCTTGTTAAATTTCCAAGAAAACTTTTCCACTAACTTGCTGACTTGTTATTTAGAGCCAAAATTTTTCACTAACTTGCCTTTTTTGCTATCAAGTTTGCATCAACTCACATCAAGGCTGTAATTTTAAGATTTTGCTAACTAGGTGTTGTACCAAATTTATTCGCCACAGCGCGATACTGTAATGTACTCCATTTTATTTCTTCATGTAAAATTTGTATTATTCTTTTCTTTTCTCCTTGAGTTAAGCCATTTTGTAATACTTGCTGAAGTTACTGCAAAAATATAGATGGCTAGGATTCATATTCAGTTATTAACTATAAACTAATGTCCTCTCAAGCAATTTGTGACGGCAATAAATGCCTGAAACATTACTCAGCTACAAAAAGTGTCATCAACCTTAATATTTTGGGCGGTTCTAAATTTACCGTAACGGAGGTGTTAAAAACTAATCCTACCAAAAATACCTAACCTAACACAAAATGGCTCGATTTAGAATTTGATCTACATGGCCATAATAACTTAGCACAACCCAAATCTGACATGAGGTGACATGATCTAAACCTGACCGATGACTTGAATTGACACTTCTATTTAACACCTATTGTTTTGCAACCAATTGAATAATTCCCTTTGCAATTAAGTTGAAGGTTATTTATTTTTGGAAATTGAGCAAGTTTATTTGTGGATTTTTTTTGCCAATGAAGTTATTCCTATATTCCTATCGTTGTAATTGCATTGTATGTAGTTTGGTTATACTTCTTCCGTTTCTTTTGAGTTGACATGATCCTTTACTTACGTTTGTCAATGTACAAATTCAATCATAAATTTATATAATTACCAATAAGCAAAAATTATAAAAAGCTGTTATTTTGAAAATATATATGATAACGAATCTAACAAAATCCCATATGATTATATTTACTATTATGTATAATTGGGGAGGATATATCATCCTCCCTTCACTCTGTCTCCTCCAAAAGTAGTATCCTATTTTTTTTTATGTAAAAATATAAGAGAGGATACTACTTTCAAGAGGAATGCAATATATCTTCTTTGTGAAGAGGATATTAAAGGTTTGGGAGAGAAATATTGAGTGGGTCAAAAGTATCTTTTAATTTTTTTTTTTTCCATCCCCTTTAATGAAATGGTGAGTATGGGAAAAAGAAAAATAAATAAATAAAACCAACACACTTGCTTAATTTTGCTATGCGGGTTCCATAAAGAATTATTAAGAGTAACTGTGATTTTTATTAATTATTATTGTCAATGTTAGGGTTTATTACTATTTTTTTCCACTTACCGTCATTTTTTTTAATTACTCTTAGGGCCTGTTCACTTCGGCTTAAGTTTTGTTCAGTCTAGTTCAGCTCTTATAAAATATTCATTTCGGCTCTATTCACTTCACTTCAGTTCAGCTCCAATCAGTTCATTTCAGTGCAGTTCAGCTTAGTTCAATAAATGTGAACAGACACTTAGTATGTATTGTTTTAATGAACGATATTAGATGACATCCATTTTTATTATTGTCAATGTTAGGGTTAATTTCTATCATTCCTTTTCCATTTACAATCATTGCTTTTTAACTATTAACTGTGTACTGTATTAATTAATGATAGTAGATGAAATTCGTTTTCATTATTGTCAATGCCGGGATTTGTTGTTTTCATTGTTAGTTAATTATTGTCATTGTGTTATAACCTGCGCCCTGCGGTGGGGCATATAAAGTAGGAGAGAGGATCCTCTTTGATGTTTGAAAAAATCTAAAATTAGAAAGAGGAAGAGGAAGGAGATAATGATGTGTCGATAGGAGATTAGGAGATAAAGTAACGGAGTAAAACAGAGGTATTAACTCATAATGATATAAGTATGCTCTTTAGTAATCTTGCTCTAAAGCCTCGAGTATACTCAATGGATGACCCAAAATATTTGGTCATGGATTATTATATAATTTCTTTCTCTTTCCACTCATCCATGACCAAGTCACATGACCAAAGACTCCCAATGGTTGTCTAAAATAACTTTGGTCATGATTTTCTCTCTCTCCTACTTTTACCATTTGTTGCTAGTACATGCAAGTTTGCCTTTTTCTTCTTCCAATAATACACTGTCACTTGTCATTTACATTTTTCATGACTAAATTTTCAGCTTGTCATCTTCAAGACCAGGTCATTAATCTCTTTCATCCAATTTTTTCTTTGTTTTATTTTTTTAATATAAAAACTCCTCTCTCTCCTCATGACCAATGACCTAGTCATCCAATGGCCACACTCTAAGAGTGTGTGAATGCTAAAGTCAAAACGTGTGAGACTATCAGCTTTAAAAAAAAAAAAAACGGAGGAATTACAAATTACACTCTTGGCAAAAAAAAAAAAAAAAAAAAAAGTTCTGAAAAAACAAAAACAAAAAATAAATAGGAAAAATTGATTCTAATAATCCCACCTTTAATCGGTTTGCTGTTAATAATCCCACCTTTATAGGGGATTTTCTTCAGTTGGTCCCTAACCTGTTAATAACCGGTTTTTACAGGTTAATATGCCATGTGTCGTGTTTTAATTGGTTGAAAAATAAAACCTAAAAAAAAACCGAAAAAATAAAAAACAAAACAGAAAAAAATAAAAAACAAAACTGATATCCAACAATAATAATTTAAATAAAATAAAAAAATATAGTGGTATTGAATAAAATGTTAGGTAAAATTATAAAATACGAGTACTATGGCCTAAAAAAAAAAAGGTACTATTTATGATATCATCAAAAGTTTTTTTTTTTTTTTTTTTTTTTCAACCAAAATAATATGAATAGTTTGTACTTTTTTTTTATTAAGAAAAGAGTAGCTTTCATATTACGAATACTAAAATCTTACTAATTTTTCCACCTCACATTAATTGTAATGTAATTAGACATCGAAATTAATTTTATGGTATATTACAATGTTTATTGTACTTTTTTATTATTTGTTTGTACAGTTTCTAATAAACAAATAGTAAAGTATTATTGTAAAACCGCGCATAGCACGGGTTTTGAACTAGTTAACCGCTAAAGGTGGAATTATTAAAACAATTTTTCCAAACAAATATATATAAAGTCAATAATGACGAACTATCAGTCTTGGCGGGCAGACAGGAAACTCCATTTACAATCTTCTTGATTCACATTATTTCTTCAATTCTTCTACTATTGTCAGGTATTTTTTCAAAATTTTCATCAAATTTTCTTTACTAAGGTACTCGAATTTTGTCTTTGAATTGCTCAACTTTTCTGATTTTGATGATTGTTCAGTTTTCCCTAATTTTTATAGGGTTTAACTTTCTCAATTTTGTTTTAATTTGATTAGTTTTGGAATTGTGTTCATCATCAATTTCTTGATTTTAGTAATACATGGGGCATACATTTAAGTTTTCTCAACAAATTATTTGATTGTTCAAATCTTTCTAAATCTAGCGGAAATGTCAAGTTTTTATGCAATGGATTGTTTCAACTGTATGCTTAAAATCTGTTATAGCATGAAGAGATGAGGTGACAGCATAATTACGTTTTTCTAAATTGAGCTTGTAAATGTGATTTTGAACCAGATTTTAGTTGCTTTTGTTGTTGTTGTTGTTGTTTAGAGAGCCACAAGGGCGGGGTGAGAATCGATTCTAGGATATTTTGGAATCGGAAAGGAAGCTCTAACCACTTGAGCTATCCCTCATTCTCACCAAATTTTAGTTCTAAATTTTCAATGTAGAAATCTATGTTACTTCTTTAAGACAATAATCATAGACCGATAATTTATACCGTTACGAGCTGAGTGATAATTTCACCGACTATACTAATTGTATGAAACGAAGATCCGTTACAGGAGTTGTTTGAATATATGATGTTATTATGGGTATTTTGATTTCTGTTAAATCCGTTGATGAAATACAAGTTAAACACTTTTGGTGGATGTATATGATCATATCCATGGCTTTTTAAAAATACTTAAGAGAATGAATATGAGGAGATTCATGGGAAATTTTACTTTCTCAGTCCGTACCAACCCATATCATAAGTACCATTTGATTAGTTGTGTTCCTCTTGCCTTTTTTCTTCTTCAACATTCCAATTGAAACATTTATGTATAAGGGTGTTTATAAAAGTTAACAATCTCTTGGTAGTTACGGAAAATCAACAATTTTTCCAACAATGCCCTATTGGAAGTGACTTATTTTTGGATGAAGGAAGTTTATGAATTGAGTGGGAATGTGAAGTCAGTAACTTATCAGAGCATTGGACTTATATTCATTGATGGTTTGCTACTTAGCTTAGATCTTGCACACCCATTTTCTCTTTCTTTATATTTGTGTTTCCCTTGAAAAGTGATTTCCATGGAAAATCATTTTTCCCGAAATATGTATTATGTCAAAACTAACAGAGCCTAAGAATTTGATATCCTTTCTTATTAGTGGTAAATAGTGAGAGCATAGATTGTCATTGGCATTAGCTAGGTGTTGTTGCTTTGAGCTACTCATAAGTCATAAGAAAGAACAATCGTCTTAATTAGAATACTATTAGAGATCAGACCACATTCCCCATCACGTACTCTAAAACAGCTTCTACCAACTTAAAGTAGCAAATTTCATTCAATTTGTTAGACTACATCTAGGTCATGATGGACTAACACACTAAAAATTGGGCATCTCAACGAAAATATAAAAGAACAGCTAAAGAACTAAGCTAAGAAGATGGATAGGATGAGAGGGAAGGGATGTTAGGAGTAGAAAGGGGAATGTGAAATTCTTTCCTTTTGAAAGAGACATGTTTTTAACTCTTGGAAAATCCATTTTCTAGCTTTGGAGAAATTGTTTTCAACCCTTAACAAACCAAAGAGTGGAAAATGAGCAAATTATTTTCGACAAAACTAACGGAGCCTTAGTGAAGTAGGTTTTCACATAATGAGCCCCCATCATTCTGAAGTTGTAAATGTATTACTGAAGAGGAATCGGGTGATTGATTAAGATTTCTTTGCTTCGTAAAGTAGAATCTTTTCTTTGCTATACAAATCATCTTTTGGATGTGACATTTTTTTTTGAAGCACTTCATACATATGTTGTTATGATTCAGTTTTTTGTAAATAACTATAAGTTGCTCCTGGGGCAGATAGAGGATAATTTTTTTAATACATGAAATTATTAAAAAAGGGTGGTATTTTATAAGGTTTGCTTATGCAAAGTATAAAAAGTGCTTTGTTTTAGATTTCATATTAATTTATTTGGTTTGTTAATATTTTTATTTGATACTAACTAGTAAGAATTGAAAGTATACCTTTGTCTGGAAATAATAGTCACGTACTGTATTGTTTTGAAATGTCTACATAAAGTTGTCACATTTTTTTAGAATAATAGTGGATCATGTTTGGAACTTCCATTTGGAATGAAAAGGGGTTGTGGTGTAAGCTCTAAAGCTATTTCATGTCTCTTTTTGTAGAATCTTATTAACTCCTTTAGTTTGATGATTTGGGACAATGTGATGACTATTTCTGGATAGCAAAAGTATTAAATGGGGCACCAAAGGCTTGTCAGCTAATTTTGGTTTTATTTGTTTATTTATTTATTTAAAAAAATTATTTTTTATTTGAAGGGGAGGGGAATCTAGATAATCAAGTAACTTGCAATTTATTTTGTTTGTAAATTTACTAAATAAGATTGACATTATACTCATCATTAGGAAATTGCAAATCAAGTGGAGTTTGGGAGGCTGGAAGTTTAGCTGCAAATTTCAAATATTTAAATATTTCATAACTCCTGCATATTTGGCATGCTTTAATGGCATCAAGGCGCAACGTGAAATACTCTCACCTTGCCACTGATGAAGATGGAGTAAACGATTACAATGATGATGGCCATATAAAGGGAAAACCATTCGATCCTCGGTTTGATTACACACCAAAGTGTCTTGACAAAGTTCCATGGAAATCAATTATTCTCGCACTGTTCCTTCTCTTCCTTGGTTCATTTCTTCTCTTTCTATCTTTTTTCATTTTCACTGGTCATATGGGAGGGGAGCGGTCTCAAGCATATGGTCTCCTTGCACTTGGAATTCTTTCCTTTCTTCCAGGTATTAATTAAGAGTTTTTTCCCTCACCCCCTGTATTTGTTGTCTTATCACTTCTTTTTGCTAAAATACAGTATTTTATGAAGTTTTATGTATTAAAATAAGAGAAGCATTCTTGTTCTTTCATTTTTTGGTTTTCATGGTTACACTGTTTATAAGTAATCTCTTTATGGATTCCACATGAGGTTCTATGTTTTTTGTCCAAGGAATCCAGAATTAAAGAAAGTTCAACAAAATATGATGTATGCTCTAAGTTCTAATTTGTAGCAGTAGCAAAACAGTAACCGATAATTTATGATATAATTTCTAGTTTTAGCCTATGATGTCAACTTCTCTTTCAAATGTTTTTAAGTGGTGACTGCTGCCTGCATCTCCAGCCAGTATCTTTTCTCTTTAAAATGACCTTTTGAGGTTGCTTGCTGGTGTCCATAGCCCATACTAGCTTCTTTATTTTAGCAGGGTAAGGCTACGTAGATCCAAACTTGCCCTTACCCTGCTTAGAGCTGGATCTGTACTAGAAGTATTGGGGCAATGATGTTGTAATTGTTGCAATTGAACTGCAAAGTCACCCAAGCATAATTCAGATGCTGACTGTTGGACGAGTTAGTAACAGTCTACTTGGCTAGATCTTTATTAATTCTGATCTGTCCCCTTTCATAATTTTTCTGATATTTTACTTTAAGGCCTTTTAGCTGTTAGGTTAGGTTGTCAAGGAAGAATCCATGTTGCTTATCCCATATAAGCACTTGAGCATGAATAGAATTACCCAAAAAAATTCAGCAGCAATGGTTTCAACTGGTGTTTTTCTTATCTCGTGATTCTTTTTGCTAGTGTTTTTTTGTTCTTAAGGAAATGGAATTCTGGGATTGTATTAGTGATCCTGGAGCTAAGCTGAAATAGAGTTGGACGTATATGCATGAGTTTTTGAACTAATATGGGAGAAAAGGCCTGGTTCTGGTTCACCCCTGCTCGGCCCTTGAATTCCTCCACAGCGTACACAGATGGAACATGCAACAAGAACTTTTATAGATTTGAATTATTCATTTCACATTTCTAAAATATTTGCCGTCTTAAAAAAAAAAAAATTAGACTTTTGGACATGACAAAAGTTTCATGACTTCCTCATCCAAGGAAGTAAAAGGGGTGGGGGTAGGAGAACAGGATGTCGAGCCTTGTGATTGCAAATGTACTATTTTAATTTTATGCAGCATTTGTACAGAATTATAGTTAGTAATGTTGAGGGTTTTTCATTTCAAATTTCTTCCTCGTGGCTTTGTTTGGTTTAATATTACTGTGTTAAATTGTTGGTGCAGGCTTCTACGAGACCCGGATTGCATATTATTCATGGAGAGGTGCTGCTGGCTACCGTTTTGCAGCCATCCCTGACTACTGAGTCTTGTCCCTCAAGATTTGCACCTCTGGTTCATGTATCCACTTTGTATCTCCTAGTCTAGTTCTTGATGCTATATCACATGCATGTTGTATAGAGCACAAGCTTTTAGTAGGTTTGTACTTACAGTAGCATTCAGTATTTTTACAAGTTTTTATCTTTAATACTGGTGCACAACGCAGCACTTTTTTTTTTGTTCTGATTACATTTTAAACAACACTCGCCCTAACTAAAAGTCATGCGTGCTGGGTTATGTAGTTTGTGTTCTTGTGTATGTTAGAAGCCAGTGGAACATTATCTCGGGTGTGTTAGAGGAAGAGGGTTTTGGAGGGGTTTTAAACGATCTGTCCTTTTATGGACTATGGACAAGGGTGCACAAGTCTTTCATAAGAGAGGGTGTATTGTGGCTCAATTGGTGTACCCTGAATTACAAGAGTAGAGTATTCCTGAGATTATTGTTATGGTGAGGAGTGAAAGTACGTGTACTTTCGCGGCTTGTGCATCACATTTTGGCTTGAAGTTGGGTGTGTGTAGTGCATGTGAAATAGTCAAGAGTACATTGCTCTATGCTGGTGGGAGCACCATATGTGTTCGGAATCAGCCACGATTTACCTAATTTTTGGTTTAAAGACCAAAAGTATTCCGGCCCATCCGTCAAACTCCCTAGGCATGGTGTCGATGGCAGCATGGCAGTCTTATCCTAGCCATGGCGGCCTTATCCTAGCCTTTTAGGAAAACCATAGACTCGTATGTTTTTTTTTTCACTAATTAATACTTTATTCGTCTCATCCTTCCCTATTATAGCAAATCAACAAAAGTTAATACTCCATTTGTCTGTAAATAAGTATCAAATTCTTTTATGAGATCAATATTTAAGAACTTCATTTATTAAGTCTTTTAAAAAAAAAAAAAAATTAAATAAATATTTGTGGCTGCTGGGATTCGAGCCCAGGTCTCCACGGCCACAACGTGGAATTCTTACCACTAAACTACAGCCACAAGGTTGTGATATTTTGTAGAATATTTAATATTAAATAATATACCACTAGATTGTTGAATTGCAATTCCCTTGTTTGTATAAAGCCTTAGATTTATTTAAGTTTAAAAAAAGTGAATAAAAAAATTGATTAATCAAAACACATAGATACTGACGATTTTTCCATTAAAATCAACAATTCAACCATAACCATCACATAGTAAAATTATTATAATTCAAATGCCAAGAAATTTCACTCCATAGATTAACCAATGAAAATGGTTGATAATGATGATGTTGTAATTCATTTTTTTGTATAAAAATAAGTGGATTCCAATTCAAGATTTATGGGATATTCACAGTAATATGGTTTGATATTGTACAAGTAACTACTGTCCTCAAAAAAAAAAAAAAAAAAAAAAAACTACTGTCCTCAAGACCTCAACTCACTAAACTATATACGTTATTTATTTATTTATTTTTTAAAATATTTATTATGAGTTCTCATCTATTACGCACTTTAACAATAATATTTTTGTTCTAAGTAGATTTTATAATAGATTTTGAGATAAATGAAATATGATTCCAAAAAATAATAATAAACCAAGTACACATTTATTGACCAATAGAGAAATTTATTTGTTTTTTATAATAATAATAATAATAATAATAATAATAATAATAATAATAATAATAATAATAATAATAAATGTATCAAGCATTATTATTGTATTTTCTTTGGCCTTGTGACGAGAGTTCATAGTTTAGAATTGAATATTATTACATTTTTTTTTTTTTTTTTGGGAATGGTTCGAATATTGTTCCAAATTAAACATCCTTTACTACTAATGTGTGAAGTCCAAGTTTAATTTCATAGCGACAGAATATATCATCAGCAATTTTGTGTCGTTTTTAGGGAGGGGGTGATACATGGTGGGATGACATGTATTGGACACAGTGTTTTATAAATAGTATAATTGAATCGTCAATTTCAAAAATTCTAATTTCATTAAAGCTTAATTGGTTAGGTTCGCAAGTTCTTAACAAAGTGGTTGATCAGTATTCAGTGAGAGATTGTTTGTGATTCTAATCATGTAATCATCATCAAATTTTAAACTTTTGAGATTATACGTACTCTGTTCTACTTTGACACCTTTATTTTTATTAATTTTTTTTTTTTTGAAATATTTATCAACAACTTGCTTTGCTCTTGTTTAAGAGTTTTATACTACTTGTCAATAAACAATTTGTACTACTAATATTTAATTTTTTTTAGTTAAAATCATATTTGAAAGTATAAACTCCATACAATGAAATGAGTTTAACAAGATTTTACATAATTATTATTCTTTGTTTGTTACATTTAGGCCCCATTCTTTAGAGTTGCTCTGCTCTGCTTCAATCTGCTCTACTTAAAAATAATAATTAATATTGAATTATTATAATAATAATAATTAATAATAATAATAATTAATATTTAATAATTATAATAATAATAATTAAATATTTAATAATAATAATAGTAATAATAATAACAATAAAACATAATTAAAATTTAATAATAATAATAAATAATTAATATTTAATAATAATATTTAATGATTATAATAATAATACAATAATAATAGTGATAATAATAATAGTAATAGTAATATTATTAATAATAGTAATAGTGGTAGTAGTAGTAGATTTGACAGGATCTTTTCCTTTAACACAATCAGGGCTATTTGACTTTATTCCTGGACGGGTTGTGACTGATGCAGCTCATCGGAAGCTGGTTAAGTATGAGGCTCGTTGTCAGGCGATTGGATATGGGTTCATTCCCTACTCCTTTTCTTCGTTTGGTGAATTAGAGAAGGTGGTTGTTGCGTTGCTTAAGCGAATTCAGAGGTTCTCGATGACGCAAGGCATTGGAGCACCTGTTGTAGCTCATATTTTTACTAGGGTAGGCTTTACTATAGCTAGAGGAGTGAGGGCCCAGATTGTATCTCGACTTCCCACTAATTTATTGTAGGTTGTATGACTTTTTGTTTTAGAGTAATAATAATAATAATAATAATAATAATAATAATAATAATAATAATAATAATAATAATAATAATGAAATATGCTCTCGGCTCTGTTCTGCTATGCTCAGCTGACTCCTGCTATGCCCTGTCCAGAAGCTCAAAAGAACAGGGCCTTAATTACCAAAGATGGTAAAAATGAGAGTGTATGTTTTTGGTGTTTAGAGAGCCACTAGGACGGGTGATGAGAATCTATCCTAGGATTACCTGAAATTGGGAGGAAAGCTCTAACCACTTGAGCGGTACATAATTGTATTTTTTTTTGTTACATTTTATCACAAAAGATCGTGCAAAATGAGAGTATATGTGACCGTGTATTTGTGTGAGTAGTGTAAAAGTCCAAACCATACATTATTTAGTAGACAACGGACGGAGTAATTAAGTGTAAACAATCTCACAGCGTCAATCTATCTGTTCCTCATAATTATGAACTCTTAAATAATTGTACTCCAATATAAAGTACAGTAGAGAACTTCTGAATGATCACGACCTCACAGTTTATTATGGCGTTAGTTAATTAACTTAATTTTGTTGCTTTCTTCGCTTTGCCTTTTTGACCAATAAGAAATTGTCTTTCGTACTTAATTAGTGGGACCTATGGAGCTTGTTTAAAGGGAGTTCCATTATACGGAGTATTGCATAACGAGGGGTAAGAGTGTAATTGCACGTAATGTATAGTTTGATTTTAGAGTAGTACCATTGAGTGATCAATAGTATCATTTAGTGATCAAATAATATAATTGAATATTTCAGTGATACTATGTATGAATCTGTTATGCATTTACAAATGCATAATAAGTTAACAACACTAAATTAGTACTTTCTCGGACGGTCCATACAAATATACACTAGCCATACAAATATACAAGCTCTTAGTTTTTTGCCAATAGACCAATGGATCATTGATTGTTAATAGTGTCACCAAGAAGTAATTAATTATTGATATGAAATTAGTCATTTATAAGTATTGTTTATCCATGTAACTTGTCTTTTATTCCAAATTTATTCCCGACAAAAGTGTAACCAAACAACAAGGAGGAGATGTACATTTTTTTTTGAGGGAAGAGATGTACATGTACTAGTAAAACTTATCATAAAATATAGTCGATTATAAAAAAAGTCCTAAGAGAAAATGAGTAAAATTAAAGCAAATTGATCAAATTTATGAAAATTATTATTAGTAAATTTTATTATAAACGATTATATGTATTACATGAGAAACGGAAACCGGATATAAAAACCGAATTAATCATCTCAATCACAAAGCCATCATAGAGCTAAAACACAAAGAAATAGTAGAGCATATAATAGTTAATAATGAACAAATTTAATAAAATGTTCATTAAATTAAGTCTCAATTGACTTAAAACAGGTGGTGGTGGTGCTTTCCTTCATGCTCTTTCTGCTCATCCTTGGCTTCCTTCTTCTCATGGTGCTCATGGAATGCATAGCCACCAGCCCCGACTGCAGCAGCCGCCGCGATTTCCTCCTCAATCTTGTGCTTGTGAGCATGCTCTGGGTCTTTCTTCGCCTTATGCTTCTCATGCTACAATTGTCACACAAATATACTACAGTCAATAATTTTTTCACTATAAAAAGTCAATGATAAGAAAAATTCCATATGTTTTAAACTAAACCTTTATTTTTAGTTATAATATATTTTATAAAAAATTGTGAGGCAAAATTGAATTTCTATTTAATTGGACAGATTAATCGTGCAATAATTGTCACATTGTGGTATCAAATTTTAATACCAATTATAAATGTAAGAATATAAGAGGCTATGTTAGTGCGTCCGAGATCAATTTTAAAAAATAAGTACAAGTGGTGATTGATCCTTTCAACCTGTGTTCAATAACAATAGTCAAGTATATTAATTTAATAATTATAAAATGTCTGATTAAATTTCTCACTAGTGCTCGATCAAATAATAATTAATAATGCGTGATAACTTTATTATTATACCCCATTGAATGATGGAACAATCCAATTACTAAAGGATAATTAATTACGTAAAACACCACGTTACGTAGAAAATAAAATAAAAGAAGTACGTACCAAAGCAAAGGCACCAGCAGCAACAGCACCAAGCTCACCCATATGCTCCTTGTGCTTGTGGTGCTTCTCTTCCTTCTCATAGTCCTTATCGTCGGACCCGACAACCGCGGTGGTAGTGGTCTCGGTGTATCCACTGCTGTAAGCGGTGTCGGAATAGGTGGTGGAGTCAGTCAAGACAACAGCTTCCACAGGAGTGTTGTTCTCATCATCATCCTTCTTGTGGTGGAAGAGGTGGTGGTGGTGGTGTTCTCCAGACATACTTGTTTTTCCTTAAATAAAAAAGAGAGAATTTAGAGATAATAATAATTTAGAAAAACTAGGATTAATGTATGTGGTTTGTGAAATGGATGATTTAATTAGTCTTAGAGAAGGTTCTATTTATAATGGAATAATGGATTAAGTACATCTAAAAGGATAATTAGATATTTTTAAAAAATAAAATAAATAAAAAAAGTAGGTATGTAATTGCGTTCATTTCGCCTAATGATCACTGTCCCACACGGTTTGTTTCCCCACATAATTTTTGTGAATGTGAAGAATATCTCTTTTGATTTTTTTTTTCTCTAATAGAATTATTTCTATTTTTTTTAAAAAAAATTAAAATTTCAGTGGATTTATTGATATTACAAATAATTAAAGGGAGATATTTCTTTATCTAATAAATCAAAAGGGATTTTTATCTAATAAGGGAAATTTATCCAACAGATCAAAAGGGATTCTTATTAATAAGGGAATTTTATCCGACAAATCAAAAGGTTTTTTTTTTTTTTTTTTTTTTAATCTAATTAATCAAAATAAATAAATCAAAAAGGATTTTTTATCTAATAAATCAATTTTGCAAGGTAATAAATCAAAAGGGATTTTTGATCTAATAAAATCAAAAGAGATTTTTCTTCTTGATTAAGAATATGCACTAAATATTCTAAGATAGACAGGTATCATAAAGATATCATCTAGTAAAATACAACTAATATATCCTAAACATAGGATCATATAAAGGATAATATTATGTGTATATTCTCTATCACTTATTAAAAGCATAATCCCAAAGCTAGCTCATGAGAGTGGAACATTTGGCGTCTTAAGAGTGTTCTAAGGTAAATTAATGAATTATGAATACAAATAAATTTTAAAATAATATTTTTAAAAAAACTTGCATATATAAAATGTAGCATAAATTTATATGGGGTAGTGCAGTCAAAGGCCAAAAGAAAAAAAGAATAAAAAAAGAGTACATAGGAACTTACGAAATTAGCCTTTGCTTGGATGAAAAAAACTCTCTTTTTTTTATTGGTTTAGTTCAAAGTGTTGTTTGTGTTATTCAAGGTTCATTTTGGTGGGGGTATATAAAGAGAGAAAACGAAAACTAAATTAAGAAAATAGAAATGGAGACAGTAATTATAAGGATAAGAGAAAAAAGAGGGAATCAAAAGAAAAAATAGTAAAGGAATAATAATAAAGGTGTTGGAATGTTTCATCATAAATAAACCATCTTTGTTTAGCAATTAGCCTCATAATATTTTAATAAGTATGTGATGTATCCATTTCAGAATATATATTTTTGATTGTTAAAACATTTTTTACTCATAATAATAGAAAAATGGATAACTTTATTTTATTATTAAAAAAAATATTTTATTAAAAAACAAAATAAATATATTAATTTTCTTTGATTTATTGTACTTATCATGATAGTAATTTTGTCCAACTCTTATGAATTTGATAACTAGAATAAAAGTTCAAGTTGATGATGATTAAAAATCTAATGTATAGTTTTTTCCTCAAATATATAAGAATTGAATAAGATTAAAAGAAGCATAAAGGATTAATTAGTGAGTAGAGAAAGTAGATCACTAATCATGATAAGATTTCACCAACTAAAAGCATCATAATGGTAATGCTTTTGCTAAGACTAATGGTTAGTGATCATAATTCAAGATTCACGAGCTAAGCAAACAAAGAAATGTCATTTCATGAGCTAAATAAAGCTCATTAGTCTGTCTTTTTTCTTCTTCTTTTTTTTTTTTTTGAATTTTGAACAAAGGCAAAAGAAAAACAAGCTCATTACTGTTGAATTTTTTATCACAAGTCTCTTTAAAATGTATTTCTTTTTTTTTTTTTTTTGAAACACTTTAAAATGTATTTCTTAAAAACAAGTAATTTGTCTTTTTTTTTTTGTTGTTTTGTTTTGTTTGTTCTTCTACAATCCATAATAGTTGTTCAATCTTTCGGTTTAAGCTTATAATCCTTACTATTTTGTTTTTTATATTCATTTAAGGACGAATTTATGTACAGTTTTAGCCTCAAATGACCCACCATACACTTGAGACTACTTCTATTATTTTGATTAATAGACCCCACTCACATTATATTTGTTTATTATAATCAGTTTTCTATCTCCTGCACATGAGGTCATAATTGTCCTACAATCTTAATTTTAAGAAATACATTTTAAAGCCTCAATTGTTTAATATGAGTTACAAAAAAAAAAGTATAAAAATTTCAAACGTTGATCCTCTATAAACGAAGGGGTATTCAAATCTAGATTATAATCCTATAACAAATAATTGTGTTTGTATAAATGCAATTTGTAAAGGAATTTTAAAACGAAAATTATAGAGGGTCATAAAACACCGTTTCAACCCCGTTTTAAGGCAATCATATATATATGGACACTTGTAATCTATTCAATAGTCTAAATTGTGAAACAAATTCTTATACGATGTGGCGAGATGATTATAATGCAGTCTTATGATTTTTGACAACCACAATTTTTTAAAATGGACAGTTGAAATTATTTAGGGTTCGTTTGGCACTGTTTTCAGTTTTCAGTTTTTTGTTTTTTCAAAACTGAAAACTGATTTCAGTTTTTGATTCTTTTTTTTTAAAAAACTGTTTTCATTTTTCAGTTTTGAGTTTACAATCAACTTCAAAACACTAAATCATTTATAGCTTTAATCAACTATTATACTACCAATAATTATTTATTAATATTTTTTTTTTGATAGCTGCTTATTTATTTTCACAATATATGAAATCTTTAATCTTCCCGTCAAAAAATAAATAAATATATATATATATAAATTTATTGATTGAATAAGGTTGTAACAAAATTTAAAGGAGCAACTAGGAAAAAAAAAGTAACAATAAAATAGTCAAATGCAATGTAATATTTATTTCTCGTTGAAGACTTTCATTATGAATTTTGTCTTTCCCACAATCTTGTTGCCAAACAATCGCGAAATTGAGCCATTCTTTGAAGTTCTTGTTGACTTACAGAAGGAGTCACTAGGTCCTCAGATCCATTGTTGTTGATTGCATCATCTTCTAGTTCGACATTTTCATCCGCATACTGTATGAACAAAGGATCTCCATCCTTGCACATTTTTATGAAATTGTGGATAACACAGCACGACAAAATTATATATTTTTGTCGTTTTAAGTCATATGAAGGCATATCTCTGAGAATGGGAAATCTAGCTTTTAATACCCCAAAACATCTTTCAATAACATTTCGCAATGAAGAATGTGTATAATTAAATATTTCCTCAGGACCTTGTGGGCTCGTTGCTCCTCTATAATCACGCAAATGATATCGTTCTCCACGATACGGTGAAAGAAATCCTGGCATATTTGTATAGCCTGAGTCTACAAGATAATACTTTCTAGGAGGAGGCATAGGAAACTTGGTCTCTTCTACATTTGTAATTGTTTCCCAAAAAATTCTTAAATCATTTGCCGAACCTTCCCACCCAGCCATCACAAATGTAAATTTCATGTCAAATGAGCAAGCACACATTACATTCATCGTAGGCTTTTTTTCTTTTCCACGATAGGGAATTTGATCATCTTGTGGCACACGTGCTGATACATGAGTTCTATCAATAGCTCCTATGCAATTCTATAATAAATCGTTAAATTCAAAATACATACTTAATGAATTAATAAATAGATAATATGTAAAAATTAAAAATTAGTGACAAAAAATTACCTTGAAAATCGGATAGTATCTTGGGTTATTTTTTATTTCTGGAGGTGTTTCGTCAAATGCCGGAGGAACAATCCAATGCTTCGATAATGATGCGATGCCATACAAAACCTTTCGAAAATGGCGGTGAGTAGATTCTAAGGAATGTTGAAATCTATCCGCTATAAGTCTGTGCCTCGAATTATGAGAAATAATAAGAAGAAACATTGCAACCTGTTCTTGAATTGATATAAATTTAGAATCTTTCAACTTTTCCCTTTTTTTCAATTCTTCACATAAGCTAATAAAGATCTCAAGGATTCATTCGAAGCATATCATAACATGTCATTGGATGACCGTTAAGCAGTTCAAGGACATATTGATGACCTGTTAACTTTGAAATTCTTTGCAAACGAGGTTTCTTTTTAAGGAACCCATTATTTTGTAAGTTAATATAAATTGTCAATATTTGTTGAAAATCTTCCTCGTCGGAATCCGATAAAATTTCTTCAATGTCGAAATCCATAACTGTCTGCATTTTTTACATATAGATGTTATGAGCAAGCAGATAGAATAAGATCACCATTATTACTCTTATTAAATCAAACCCAAATACAAATTCCAAAAAAAAAATCATACTTACGACAAGATCTAAATTGAGTTTAAACACTCAAACATGCATTATTGAAGGGAAAAATAATTTGTACTAATGAGATAATGCTTAAAGGTTGAGCACAAAATCTATCTTCCTATCATTTGGAAGTCTAAGAAACATTTTCCTCCACAATGGATCATCATGTATTAGTTTAGTTGCCTTTGCAAATGCAGCTCCATCAATTCCCTCAAGAGCACTTAGTGCATCTACACATTCCATGAGCAAATCATGATCCTCCTTGGATTGATGCCCACCTTCATCATTGCCATTAAATTTTCTCTCGATAAGTTCAAGTTTTTTCTTTGAATTTTCACTCATTGTAACCAAGGCATCCGCCATTGCTACATTAACACTTTCCCTAAGTTTCTTACGATTGACATTAGGCTTGATTTTTTTATTTTTAGGACCCTCTTCACATTGTTTTCTTGAGTCACCCCCTTCTCCATCTGTGTCATCTTCATCCTCACTCTCAGAAGGGCTTTTAGTAGAAGGATGTGAACTAGCACCAGTAGCGGTTGTATCCCCATAAATTGTGCATAATTTATCATAATGCTTACATCCCTTCTTTCTAAAAGTTTTGGCAGACTTATGTTTCTGAAACAACCATACATTCACATCAAATATCACAAAAATAAAATCTTATTAGTTTAAAAATGTCCCTACTTGATCCATAAAAGAATAGAATCAAAATAAACTTATTGACAATTACCTCATACAACTTTTTCCATACAACATCCTCAG